CACGTATATAAACGGAAGAATTGCTCTGATAACCGAGTAAATTATAAGACCAAAAATAAGCCTATAGAAATTGACAATTGTCTACTACCCGTCGACCGCGGCACTCAACGTATTAAAATTAGTTTTAAATCTTTTTACTGGGCATTTTTCTTAAACAAAACACAGCTTACGGGGGGGGGGGCGCCCCCTCCGCCCCCCTACTGAATCCGCGCCTGTGTACGTATCCATAATATCATTAAGTATATAACATGTTACAACTAGGTACAACTATTATAAATAGGTATAAACATACACATATAGTTTAGCGAAATTTAATATTGTATACATTTAACCGTTTAGAGAGTTAACGTCGGTGGCCACCGTTAATACGGAAAAAATCCTCGACATGTATAGTCCCATCGGTTTTTGGGTACGCTCGTCCCAGCAGACCGGGATGATCGAGGTCGGAAAAAACGGCGAAAGCTTGCCGTTCCTTTTTTGGATAGACCCGGAGCCGATACCGGTCAAGTATTATAGCTTCAGTTCGTGGGGCACAGTGGTTTGCAAATGGATGTTCAAGTGTAAGCCCGACCCGTTGGCGCGAGTGACGCCAAAGATTGCGGTGCCGGGTACGAGAGGTTATTTAACAATATTGTATATAATATATTTACATAGCTAATATAACCTATGTAGTTGATGCTTAACCAATAAAAAAATAAAAATATATTTGTACTATATTTACGAAAAAATCGCGGACATCGCATCCAATCGATATTGCGTGAAATGTATCGACGATCGCATTCTTATGCAAACGAAAATGTGTTATTGCGTTTCAGACAGAATTGATTATACGAAGAAATTCATGACATCCATGGAACAACTCAGGAGGGACGTACTGAAAAAGCGCAGCATGTTCGGAGGCGATCCGACGACGAACGCTCAACGTGTGTTAAACGTGGTGCTAACTAGTAACTTCAAGTTCATACATTTGGTAAGTAAACTATGACAGAACCGACCTGAAGCCTCCGACCACGGGCCTCGTAAATTTGTACGACATTTCGGGCCTCGCATTATAAAAAAAAAACTATGTTCTGAGGTGTTGCCTTTAAAAAATTGATCTTTTCCTCGCTCCACCTTAAGCCCGTCTTTGTACTATATAATAAATATCATCATGTTCAAATATGATGTGATATGTATGTATAGGTATTTTGTTTTTGCATGAATAAATACATAACGTATTGTTGTATACGTTTATTGCGTTAGAGTGATTCGTTTGATTTTTTTTAATGTTGTAGGACGTCATGACTTCGACGCTCACACTTCGGGGTATTGCAACTTTTGTAAGTATATTTTTGCATTCCATTAGTGGATACGTTTTGACGGATAAATCTGTCAAAACTAAATTAGGAAAAAAAACTAAATAGAAAATTAACAGATTAATTTTTAGTCACGGAAAATCTCCAAATGATATTTCCCGTATTATACAATATATATATATGTATCAGTATATTAAGACGGATTGACTAGTTTTTTCTATTGTGACAATGTTAAGAAATATATTGTCATCCATATGAATTTTAGTATACATTTTTTATGATTTTACTGTATGAACTTAACCTAACCAGGTATTAACAGTCATATATAGGTATATGTAATATTTATAACAATATGTATTATATTTAATATATTGTTTTTGAATTGTTATTTGGACAGGAATGGACTGACAACAGTATCCATTGGAACCCTCAGGACTATAAAAATATTTCCAAATTGCATTTATCGAACTACGAATTATGGCAACCTGAACTAGTACTTCACAAGTATGATATATTATAAATTAACATATTATATATATACATATATTACAGCTATGACGATAACTTACTTCGTTATAAACATTTTGTAATCAGTAAACACTGTCTATTTCCGTTCTCAGCGCTATGGATCCTGCTACAAGTATGTTTTCCGAATCAAAAGTATCCGTGGACAACAATGGCAAAGTCACATGGAGACCTAAATTTGACGTTAGAACCAAATGTGACATTGACTTGACGTCCTGGCCGTGGGATAAACACAAGTGTACCATACTGTTGAGCACGTGGTCGCATAAAATATCCAATGTCTTCTAYGAAATCAAAGAGAATCAAAATTCCGTAAGTACCTATATTCACGGACGGGCATGCCGCTCAAAYGCACATCTAGTATCTATTACGTCTAATAACTCTAATAAATATCGTATGACGTGTATATAGACTATTATAGTTAGCTATAAGTATACTCTGTCCAGCTATAGAGCTTACGCCGTGGCCTGCAGACAAAAATCGGTTCTACTGCGCATCCCCATCATGTATACGACACCCTGCCATAATGCAACCGCGGTAATCTCGATGGTGGRGTGTCGCGTTGAAATGCACATATAGTCGGTGTGATCTCTCGCTGGATAGAGTATAGTTGAGATGTATTTCTCCTTGTTGGTGTACCGTGTATCATACACACATACATRGCTATTAGCTTGGGTGCAATTGAGTTATATTCCGTTTGATATTGTAAAAACATGCAGGAATGTTTTCAAGTGTCTCATACCGATTGGATACTCGAAAAGATGACGAGCTCGTACGTAGAAGACAGCACTCCATGGGACGATATCGTGGCATCCATCAACAACGTCGACAATTCGGCAAAAGACGGCCCCCCGCAATATTCACTGCAGCTAGTGGTGGAAATATCTAGAAACACGAAAATTCTCGAGAAACTGTTTTACGTCCCATTAATACGTATGATTTTTTTCTCCAATAACTTTGCCAGGTTATATATATTGATTAATAATCAATATATAATCTGCTATATATATGGTCAATTAATAATTGGATTTGGATTGGAACATAAAAACATTTAATGGCAATCCTTTAGAAAGCCGGAAAAACTGAAATGTRATTATAATAGATTTTTCTTTTATACAGTGATCAGTTGTGTATGGCTGTCATCTTTTAGTTTAATGCCGAATTCCTCATCAAAAATCATGACAATTTGTGTATCAATCATACTTTCAATAATGGTCGTTGTATACATGACGAAGTATGTACCGGTTTTCGCTGAATTTCCACCAGACTTGAGTAAGTATTATATTCTATATATGACTATATTACCCGTTTAATGATAGCTTAGTTATCAATTTATCATCAGTTTATTCATATAAAAATAATTGTTATTAATTGTAATTTCACTTAAATTATTTACTTAGCATTTTTAATGTAATACTTTTTTTACGATTTTGAATGCTTTTTTGTTGGTAATATTTAACTATGGGTATAGGTAACTAGTAACTACTAACTACCTAATTGTTTGTTTTTTTTTTTAAATTTCTTATAAAATAACACTAGTGTCATACTTAGGTAATACATGCTTTTACAGACATATTATTTTAGGTAAGAGTTAAGTAAGTTCCTATTATTGTAAGTGTTACTACGTCTACAATATGAAACTTCAAATATTTACCTATAGTAAATTATTTATTCTTTAAATAATATTATATAATAAAAACGTATAAAATATTTTGAATGAATAGGTAATAATTAACATATTAATTTATTAATTTCATRATGTCATACATATTCATACCCATTCAATTATTTAAAGGCATATATTTGATATTTTGGACATATTATTTTTATTCATTTAACAAAAAAAAAAAAGTTTCCAAGGTCCTATAATCTTAGTGTTGTAACTTAGAACAATATCATCAACATGCGAGAGTGAGACCAACAATATTAATAATATTATGATGATACGGCGTATTGAATAGACTAATTAGCTGCACCATCGTAGTACCCCGTATAGTAATAATATTATGAGGAAAAATGTTTTTATTTTATCAATTTATAAGGTATAAAATGATAATTATAAAAATTAATTGTATTTAATAAATATGAATCATAAAATTTTATAAAATCCAGGTAATGTATAGGGCTGAATTAAATGCATTTTTGTTTTCAGTGCTTGGATATTTGAAACTTATCCTTTTGATATCGATGGACGCGTTCATCTCATCGCTGCTCATAACGGTACACAATCGCAAGACGGACAGCGGTCATCCTCCGTTCGCGTTGACTAGATTCCTGACCACGCCCATCGTGACAAAACTTCTGGCGTTGCCAAAATTGGATTCACCCCGGACCTTTGTCTACGACCAGTTGGACCAAAGACTCGACGCAGAACAAGAGACCACGACGACCCTATGGGATATCGTCATAGCTGCTTTTGAACGAATCGTGTTCATAATATTTTTCGCGATTACCGTGGTCGTATTGCGGTCGGTCAAGATTTCCGTTGCTGCTCTGTTTTGATCGATCTTAAAAGTATTAATTCTACAATATAATGGTGGACTGTATACTAGTATATACTTGGTAATAAAATATAATAACAATTAATAGGCGTATCATGTAGTAACAGCAGTTGCGTATTTATGATTTTTTCGTGGATGAGATAGACTGATAGAAAGACCTTGATTATGRAGGTTAACTYTAATTTTGATGATGGAAAAACACAGTTTTATAATATATACGTAAAAGAACTAAACTTAATTAAATTTCTTAAATAATAAAGAGGCTCTATTGTTTTTAAGTGTTTTAACTGTTATCAATTTGTTTTTGCATAAAATTAACTCAATTCCTTTATTTTTTAAACGTGAACTATTTTCTGGACTGAACTGTAGTTTTGTAAAAAAAAATTATAATCTTATAGGTACTATAGGTTATAGGTAGGTTGTAGGTACGTTGAAATAAATTATTGTTTCAACATTTAAATGGTACACGGCGGAATGTATAACGCTGAACGGTTTACTATACWGCAGAGTACGAATGTTTATGTTTTTAATGATTTATTATAAATCGAATTATAGTAAAAC